TTTACGTGGCCTATCAACACAATTTAAAAACTGGTATATATCACCTTGTTGCTTTGTCATCTTAAAGTGGTCATGTGATTGGCTTACCGCGACTACTTCATTCTTCCTCAGTCAAACAGCAGCACTCATGCGATTGTTTTGCTCCCTTAGCTCCAGGTGTTGTGCCAAAAAGTGATCGTTAGGGAGAAAGTGATTGCCGTCCGCGGGAGCGCGCGGAGCTGCTTAACGCTGTAGCGCCCAGATCTTGGGGGGCCCTGATTACTTACATAGACAGCTGCTTCCGTGCAACTGATATAAGGTGCAATAAGCTGAAGACAGCTTCAACCGTCTGTTTGTTGAAAAATAGTTTTCCTTGTTAGTAACTGTAACGGCGTTGTAACGATAGTTATAGTGATTAGTTAGATTACTCGTTACTGAAAAAAGTAACTCCTTACTTCCATCACTGATGTGGTAGAAATAAAATTATCTGATATCTTTTGTTTTAGATAGACAGAACTAAGACAGTAGTTACATTTTTAAATTTACTTTCTGGGTTATAATTCTGTTAGAGCGTCTCTGTAAGAACAAGCAAGACAGTTTGTGCCCTTTGCACATATAATGCAAGCAGCAGCAGAGAATTACCAGCACTTTCAGCTGTTCTGTTATGTGATTGTAAATGATTTGGCACAGTGTTTAAACCAGATGGCCTTCGTGACACAGCCCTTCCATTTATCCGGGTTTTGGACTGGGCACTGGGAGTACACGTGTACATGTGACCCCATGACACTGGGTTAATATCTCCTCCCAGTGTCAAACCAAGGATCTTTCACATAGAGTCACTGATCCCAGCACTGCTATATTAGAAGCTTTGGTATGAAAATTATGTGATTCTCTTTGGATTTTGCACCGTTGGTCAGACAAGTCCAGGAATTTGAGCAAATTGTCTGATTTGTGTTTTGTTTTCTGTATATTATTTCTGCTGGTATGACAGGTCTTTAAAGGTTGCGCCTTTTTATTTATAGTATTAGTATTATACGTTTTTTTGTCTTGATTTAACTACAGTCTGTGTGTTTGTTGTAGTTATGTAGTTTTGTGAAAATCTCCTAAAGTCTGAACCAGTAACATTTGAACTGTGATGTTAAATTGTTACTAAATTTATAAAATCTAAAAAAAACATTAAAGAAACATGGACTTTAATCCTTAGCCGACTAACTTTTTTCATTCTCTCCTAAAAACTGATGATCTTTAGCAGGGCCTGTGATTGGCCAAAAACAGCTCAGAGGAGGGACAGGAGTCTAGTTCAGATCAATCGAATTACAATTCACCTAAAGACTATTATGGATTTTCATTGAAATACACCAAAAACAAGTTGTCTATCTTGCCTTAAATTGGGGCACCAAATTAAATCTCGCATTTCCCACCTGTCACAGGCGTCATCCAGGTCCTCACAGTCACAGCAGCAGGCTGCTACATGGCTGCGCTGTCCGTGTCTGTTCATGTATTCGCAGCAGCACAAGACCGCCTCCTCCTCCAGCACCTTCTTGGCTTGCCTCTTCATTACAGAGAGCCCTGCAGCCTGTCAGAGGTTTTAAAAAAGGTAATGAGTTCAAGGAAAGTGAAAAGTTGCAGATGATCAAAGGGAAGGGAAACGTATTAAGTGAAAATACCTTTACCTGATTTGCTTTCAGCTAATAATCATTTGAAAATACCACTTTGCTGAACTGACCTTTTCATGCAGCAGCTTACCAGACACTTGCATGCATTTTAGATGGTGGAGTGCTCTTAACAGATTTCCACAGCACTTTCACGTCACTTCCTGTCCTCACATCTGTCACACATCTGCCACCCTTTAATGATTTACAGCAAATGATCAGTCCCCCCACCCCCCGCACACTGGCTTGTTTATGTGGCACAGATGGATATGGATTTGGGTTGAGGTGGTGTCAGCAGTTATAGCAATGGCAGGTCTTAGGTGGCCTCTCAATCATGGCATGACAAAGTGGGGTTAATCCTTCAGCTGAGTTAAACCTCTATCTTTGGGAGGAATATGAATGAGCCTGATTAGCAATAAATCACAGAATGAAATTGTGTGTTATTATTAAAGCTCAGCCAGCAATCACGCTAATGTGTTAAAAAGGACATTCTGGGTCAGAAAAGGTTACCAGCATCTAATTAGGGTCCTTCCAGGCACCCTTGGATCTGTAAGATCCTAAAGAGAGGACAGATTGGGTTACATCTACTGATTAATGGGTGTGTGCTAGCACCAAACAGCACATCTGCTCCCTGACAAATAAAGAAAAATACTGCTGCAAGAGCTTACAGTGTGACTGTTGCACTCAGCAATTTTACAGCTGTGGTGTTTAATGCTTTGGCCAAAAAGCTTTTCAGGGCAAAGCACATCATATTGCTTCAATATCTAGGAATTGCTGTCGTTTAGGATGGAAGACGTCACTTTTACAACTCTGATTATTAGCTGAAAGAAAATCAGCAACATTTTTCATAGTTAATAGTTCCAGATTGCAACTGTCGAGGATGCTTGCTTTACTTACTTTATATATTTTTGCTGTAAACACCATATTTGTCTGACACAATCGAGGCTCATTCTCATCCTAGGCCAAACTCTCAATTTGAATGGGAAAATAAACAGCATAAAATAACATTCTCATTTGACTATATACCAGAGCCAAAGAAGTGTGACAAGGAAACCTCCAACAATGTCTCAGTGTCTCAATGCCTGTTGCTGACAAAGAAATGGAGACAGACCGATATACAATCACTCCAACCGATATTTGGGGGACTCCAGTATCTGATATATTAGCTGATATATTGGTTGGTTTTTTTTCACATACACACAAAACATAAACCAATATACCTAACACTTGTTATGTGTACTTTTATGTGTATTTACTCGTTCACACTCTGCTTGGATCAGGGTTTGTTACTGCTTTCTTACCAGGTTTGTTACCTTGTTACCAGCAGTGCCCTCTAGTGGACAAACTATGCAACATCAACAGTGATAACGTGCCTGAATGGTGTTTCTCCCATTACTTCTTTACTTTTTTCATTTATCAGCTGTTATAAATGTTGATACGGAGAGATCTGCAAATTGATAATATCACGTAGTAATATCAACTGTTATGCTATCAGTATTTTGCACCAAAAGCATGCCAACAGCAGCTAATAGGGTAGTGGTTTACACATTTTCCTAACAGCAGCAGATTGAATTCCTAAGCTACTGAGCTTCTTTCTGCACAATTTCAGTCAAATGTTAAAAAATGACTGTAAAACACTGAGTACAGATGGATAAGGGTGGAAATTCAGATCATGTTGAGCTCTGTGGGTTTAGGGAGTCATCAACTAAATGGGATTTGCATCTAATTATTAAAATAATCCCAACATTTGGAACATTAGTTTGTTTACTTTTAAGCTCATGAAAATGGAGGGACTACATAAAAAAGGCTGCAAATCCTCAGTTTTAGTGCAGACTTTTATTCTAAACCCTTTCTGAAAGTCCACACTTTAATTACATTTTGCCCATTTCATTACAAATACATTTAACTGGTGTACAGCAGCAAAATTAGGGAGATTTTGTCACTGTCCAAATGACTGTACATTAAAAGGCAGAGCTGCACAGTTAAATTCCTGAAGCTTGTAAAGACATAAAAAGTACTTAAAGTGGCCTCACCTCCACTCAGTGCTCAGCAGAAAGCAGGATTTACAACATCAGTCTTTGTACATGTGCAAAGACTCAAATAGTAAATGGACTGGTACTTATATAGGACCTTTCTACTCAAGTTAAGATACTACACATCTAATTATCACAATCACACTCAATCACAGCACTTTTATCTATGCCTAACATTTACATAGTTAAGCTCCCATGGATGTATCCAGACCAACGCATGTTCCCATGGCTTCCTACTGGTAGAAGACCACCTTTGCTTTTTTTTTTTTCCAGAGCAATAATATTCTCATACTTCCTAAAACGGGTCTGAATGTACCACTAGTGGTCAAGGAAGCTACACCTCGTTTGGAAGTCAGCCTCTTAGACACCTACACACCTGGTAACTGACCAACCAAGACACCATGCTAAACCTCCCAGGTGGAGGACCTAACAGCGGCTGGCTGTAGCTTAATATATACTTTATAGGTAGGATGACCAGATTTCCCACTTTACTATTCTTTCTCCCACCTCCCAATCCTACATACTGAGGGAATGTCCCACATGTTGCTTTCTCAAAAGAAACAAGGCTGTAAAAGAGATGCGCTGATCCACAGAACCATCCCTACAGAAACCCAAAAATGATTACCACGCAGAACAGCAGCTGCGATTACAGATAACCAAAAGTTACAACAATTGTAGTGGCATATAAAAAAACTAGCTTTCAGGTTATTTGTAGCCTTACTGCAAACTCCTTACCCCACATTTAGTCAGCATATATAGAGACTATCCAGTGTTATAAACATGAACATTCTATAGAAAACCATTGAGACAAGTGTTACTTCACAAAACTGCTGATAGCTGCAACTGGTGTTATCAATGAAATTTTACTTAGGGTAGATGGGGAGCCAAGATGGCATTAGAATAACTAAATACACGCCTGCTTATGAATAATCAGTTAACATCATCAGTTATTTGTTTCTGCAGAACACCTGCTCTAAACTATACCTTGCATAATAAACTTTTGTCCCAGTAACAGGATGCTGTGCTGACACATTCAGTAAAAATCAGTTTTTGTTGGAGACGCTGTGACTTTAAACTCGACTGAAGGTAAATATTAGGACTTCACCGTTTTCCCTGGCATTTAACCCAATGAATCCTGCAGCTTGTCGGTAACATAATTGCAGAATGCAGCTCACAGTTAACCGACGTTCACTTATTTTTACCTGCCAACAAGCCGCCGTCTCACCGGAGCGACACACTGCGTCAAAGCAGGTTTCACGACCCGACAAAAACCGGGTAAACATACCTGCACACGGGGCTGCTACATGCCAGCCTCTAGAAATATCGACTAGAACGATTTTCCCCCGCCGTGCTTCTTAACGGAAGTCTCGGTCCCGGCAGCAGAGCTCGTATCCGGTGTTTCTGCCGCTAAGTGCAAGTCGCGTGAAGTGACCGCGGAACGGCGGCAACTGCTGGGGCGGGGGCTGGGTTTGAGTGTCCGGCTTGGCTGGTGCTTCCTGCAGGAGCCGGGGGGTGTCTTCTGCGTGGACGTCCAGGTTTCGGTACACAGAGAAGTCCTGCTTCCTCCTCTCCAAACTGGCTGAACTGTTTCTGTACTGACGTCACATGAAGTGGCTTTTCCCCGCCCAGCCTACTCCCACATGATGCTGCTACTGCTGCATGCACAGCTGTGCTCAGGTGAAGTGCTGGAAAAGCTGTGTACCAACACTCCATCAAAACAAACAGTCAGTTTAATGGTCTTTGTGAGAAGCTTCGTCCCGTTATAAATTAATTATAAGTAGCTTATCTTACTCTTGCACATTTGGTTATGCAAGAGAGATAATGCCAACATTTTTTTGGACTTTTATAACTTATATCCGGGCATAATTGATGATTGTGGACATGGCAGTTTAGCACACGTGTGCTAAAAAGTGATTATATTAGATACATAGCCATCTGATTGCTTTTAATATAGTTTAGTTTCCATAGTGTAATTTTTCGGTTTAGTTTTAATTGTTATAAGTTCCAGTTTTAGTCTTTAATTATTACTGTATGGAGAGCATATGTCACAGGCAAGATTTAGGAAAATTGACTCAGTCTTGTAGACTCAAAATCTCAAGAACTAGTCCCATCAATGCCTCATCAGATAAGCTAATGTTTTAACATTAATCTCAGTTCCTTCACATGGACTCAAATTGCAACAAATACTAGGAATGACCCACCTGAGCCTTAAATATTAGCCATCTGTGTACGTATCATATTGCATCATGGCTCATTGTCATATCAGAAATGTATAACCAAAACAATGCACGCTGTCCATAGTCTGCTTTTTGAATACTTAAAGAGAAAACTAATTTAACATCAAATAATGCTTTTATTTGTATGTTTGTTTGGTGGGGTTCTATTTGTGCTTTTACATAAATGTTTTATATACTGATCTCTTTAGCATGCCTCAGGAAAGCCATCAGGCATAAAATTCTGAATTCAAACATGCAAATGGAAACATTCAAGTAGTAATTTCTTTTTCCTATAACTTAATACTACAAATTGACTATTAATGCTCATATAAGGATAACAGCAATCCTGCCATATGCAATATAAATGAGTCTCCTTGCAGTTCAGTCCCCGCTATCACTACTGTAAGTGAATACTACAGAGGAAATAGAATTTCCTTTGAGCATGAATTAGGACAGACTTGTGGTCAATAATTAAACACTCTCGATCATATTATGTTTCCCCTGTGACAAAATAATGGAGACACATTTGGCTTTAGTCCCATTTAATCTTTTGCTTCCCCCAGCAGAGCATCTATGCAGCTCCTACCAACACAATCTGTGTGTGTTTTGGTTTTGTTTGTTTGGGGGGTTTTTTTAAAGAAAAAAAGTCTATATGGCAGTTCTGTCTTAGTTAAGTCAGATTCTTCCAAAGATAAATATCACTTTGTGCCAACACAGATCCGCCTTATACCAGGTTCCAAATCAATCACTGGTGAAACCGTTTGTTCCACTGGCACAACAAGAGAAAGCACCAAACTTGGAAATTAAGCTCATTATTTACACTGAGACATTATTTAGAAAAATTGTCATTAAGAGTTTAAATATAAATAGTGTTTATATTTTAAAAGGTTTCCAGGAAAAGTCAAAACTTCTGGCAAAAGTAATATTTATTAAAATGATCAATGACAAAACATCGACAACAATCAGGACCAAACACAGTCAAATTCAACGAAATTGATTTATACGTACAGGAAAATGAGAGTCTTCAAATTCAAGAATGACATGTGTAAACCTTAAGAATTAAAAAAATAAAATAAAATAAAACAAGCTTTCCTCTAGTGTTGACAGAGTGAGTTCACAGTACTGAGATAGTCCGGGCCAACACCTTCGCTGAAAGATCGCCTCATCAAAAGCATTTTAAACTACAAAAAATCGTACAGTTCTCTAAATTTGGATCAGTGCAGAGGAGAGGAAAAAAAAAACCCCCAAAAAAAAAAAAATAATAATAAAAAAAAAAACAAAAAACCCTGATTATACCTGAACAGGTGATGAGGATCAGTTCTGGTCTGCTTCATTTAAGGTCCAGGAGAGAACCACAGTGTAATCATTGAAATATCAGCAGGCCAGAATAACTGAAGTATACATGTACAAAATGATTCGAGACCACAGTGTGTAGATGATCCTTCAAGTCTGAGTCACTGATTAGCGGGATTTATTGGGGAGAGGAGCGTAAGTCAGCCTTACTCATAAGACTCGTGCAAAAACGTAAATGTGTGCAAAAAGCTTAAATAATATTGACTCACATCCCAAAAATAAAACTAAAGTATTCACAACAGTTCATGTGGCACAAGGCTCATTAAAATAACCATGGAAGCTGCGGGAGCAGAGTGGTCCTCTGCAGAAATCTAAACCAGACTGGTGAAACATAATCCTCCTCCCAGCAGTCAGTACGCAGCTTAGAAAACAAACAAACAAACAACATCCTGGCACCTGATACCTCACCACAGGCTTCGGGATGCATAACCACGAAGAAAACACGGCATGTGCCTGGGGATGCCCACATGGCAACATCTGTGGATAGCAGAGGTATCCTCTGAGACAGTTCAGTGCTTCAGTGTCGTTTTACCCACAGGGACAGGTGCTTTGTAGTCACCAGGCGTGGCTGCGTCACTGCTGCGCTGCAGTGTGATTGGCTGTTGCAAAATTCTGTTGCAGCATCACCAGTGAAGTACGAAGCTGCAAGGAGAACACGTACAAGACCAGATGAACACCTGCGTTAGGCTTTGAGCTAACATAACAGACTGCCTGCCCCCCCCCAAAAAAACAAATAAAAACAAAAAAAAACCAAAAACCAGACGTGTTCATATTTCTTCCAACTCTTTAGGTTTATGGAGCCTAAATGTGAATCACTCTAAAAAGCTGTGTAAATCACAAGAGTGCCATGATATTAAAACTGTTCTATATTGTGTAAGTCTGCATTTAATGGAAGGAACAAAGACAACATTTATTTACATTTCTTAATACAGGACAAGATATGTTCAAGATATCAGGCCTTCCTTGTCAGATTCTTTAATTTTATAATGCTCCACATATTTTCGACGTCTGGAGTGAGAGCAGGCAAAGAGCTGCAGTCTCTCTGCTAGAATATCTGCAGAAAGTGGTTTGCTTATATTATTTAGCAATATTGGTGCCTTCACAGATTGCCATAATTAATTACTCTTATCTCAACTCCACCACTGTATATAGCTATTTAAATGTTTGAAGTTCTCACAAATTTAAAAAAAAAAAGCATATGTTTAGTAAACATGAATCCAAATGTCAGTCTGCCATTTTTCAGGATTTTGGTGCCGTATTGTTTGCAAAGATACGGGAGAACTGCAGTCAGGCTGAAAGACAACACTAAGAAACAGATAATTGCTTTCTTTCCTTACTCGTGCCAATGCCACGATGCTCTGCACTTTAACACAAGCACATGCTTTGCAGTTTAAAACAGACCCCATCACAACAGAAACTCATTGAACTATATAAATGTCAGCTGTTAAATGTGCAGTTCAGTCTTGTCACTCAGGATTTTGAGTACGTCACTGACAGGAAAAAAGGCCTTCGTAATATGCAAAAATGAGCAAATCAAACCAAAACAGAACAAATCTAAACAAAGGAAAAATATTTACATTTGATTTTGTGATGAACTGGTCTTTTAAACAACCTACCTGTTCTAAGAGGTTAATGGAGTCCTGAAGTACATTTTTGAGTAGGCGCAGCTCCTCTGGAGACCTCAACGCTGCTCCCAGTTTGGATCCATACTCAGCAGCTAAGCTGTTAAATAACAAAAGGAGGAATTCATTCTCATGTGTAAGGTATTTTTGCTACAGAAGAACCAGAAACGGAAACGAAGTGAAGAATGTGAAAGAAGGCCACTGATGTCACTTACATAACACCAAAAATTCACAGAAGCAGACAGTTTGAACACTGAGTCATTAAAACAAGAGCTCTCTTGTGCTGTATGTGGGTTGCTTAAACGGCCAGACAAAACTGGAGGAAGACGAACCCCTTCTTCTCGTCCACCCACACTAAGACTTCTGCTTTCTGAGAGCTTGTGGCAACAGCTATTACAGGTACCATCTATGAACAGTCCTCGGTTATACGCAGGTCACAAAGAAGCAGTGGGAAGTCAACTGACCTGGCCTCGCTCCTCTCCCTCAGGCGATGCTTTGTAGTCAGATACATGCGCTGGGCCACATCCTCCATGGCCCACAGCTTAAAAAACAAGCCTAGATTCAGCATTGTCAGGATCAGCAGACTGTAAAAAAGGCAGAAGGTATTGAGTAATCTGACCAACAGAGCAGGCAGGCGGAAGTGACTAAAACTTTTTTTTTTGTAAGTCAAAACAAACAGTTATCTTTCTGTGTGTGTGTGTGTGTGTGTGTGTGTGTGTGTGTGGTAACTTACACCACACTCATCCCAGCCACTATCGTTGTGACATTCCATCGATACGGACCTTTCATATCTACAGGGCCTGAAATACAGCAGCAAACATCAACACAACAGTTTTTGACTAGCAGTCCTATGAGGATAATATTGCACTCAGAGCACGTCGCATTTGTCAAGACATTTCCTTTTAATGACAAGCAGTTTTTTGCTTGAGGTATAAAAGTTGCTGTTCTCTGAACGTGTCAAAAGATTGTACCATAACTCTACTTAAGATGACACAGTTATGACAGGTTTGAGTCTTTCCTATTCAAAGTGTACAGTAAAAAGTGTATTAAATGTCTAAGCCCACATTAAGGATTACTTGAATCCAGTTTAGGCCATTACAATGAAAATATCAACTTTAATTGTTTAATTCAAAGCCAAGCACAGTTATAATGATCCCACCACCCCATTTTCATAAACTGTAGTTTCATTATTAAAAAGGCGTCAGTACCCATGTTGCCTTCTCTGTGCTGCTCAGCGTCGTGCCTATACTGCTTTTTGGGCTTTGAATGCTCTGCCAGAGTCCGGCTGTAAGTCCGCCTCCTCCTGCGAAGCCCACCCATCTTTCCCGCCTCTCCACCTCCTTGGTTCATCTCTGCTTCCTCCTCCAGCAGTTCTGCTTCTGTGTTGTGTAATCACAGGGCAAAACCAAAAAATATATATAAATAAAAGGAAACAGGTGGGTTAACTCAGCAAAAGCAAAAGTAATCAGCATGAACGGCC